TTCTAACAAACATGGTGCTCCTACAATAATTCTGCTTAAAATGCCGTTAATATATACTGAGATTTCTTAATAAACATCTTAAGACTCGGTTTTTGTAGAAGATACCTAGTTAAAATACTTGTTTTCATTTTCCGTTGTTTTAGCTTCGTTCTACCTTCCATTTTGTTGTCAAATAAAGTCCTATAAAACTTCAGTCGTACATATTTCCGCTCACTTTCTGAGCCTATTTAGGTAATTCTAAATATCAACTATGTGATAAAGTTCTTCATCTCTTGATGGTTTAATAACAAAAGTGAATCGACTGAACTATCTGTAGCGTTGCCCTTGCGCAGCCAAGACACCTGTGCAGCTGCCAGTGAAAACAATGCAATTAGGACGCCGAATAGAATCGTTGCATTGTCGCAAGCGCCGCAAAAGACAGATATTTCAAAACCAACATGACCGAATGTGGTTAAACAGTTACAAAATGAGAGAATCTGCAAAACCGCGATTTTAATATATATCTTCGCTGAGGACATGTTTCCCTTCATCCGAATGCAGGTGCATCAGACCGCAAGAGATATACAAGATTCAATGGGAATTGTTATGGTTGCATTGCAACGTGAATTTGCTTGCTCGCCAAATGGTACTGTCGGCTCGTTTACCTCTAGTTTAATAAGTAGGGCTTTTCAATCACGTTGTCCAGGGGGGCAGATTTTTATGGAGGGGGCTGTCTAACTGCTTCAGAAACTCTTGGGGGCTGGGGCTTTCTAAGCTGAGAAAATCTAGGATGTCCAACCCCTTCGGGAATTCAAAGGGGCTCGGGGTTTCTAAGATGGGGGATCCTTAGGGCGTCTAACTTCTTTGGCTGGTCTGGGAACAAGTGATTTCTAAGCTGGGGGCTGTTTAAGCTTTCTAGACACCTAGGACGCTCTAAATGGCTAAGGGAATTTTGACTGGCTGATAGAAATGTGGAGAGACCGAGTGTAACTACTTACGCATATCTATATATATATACGCTTTTAATGTATAGAACAGGGCGGTTCTATGTTGCTACTCCAAGTTTGTGGATGGTGTATAAAAGAAGACGGTTCTAAGTTGCTACTCCAAGTTTGTGGATGGTGTATAAAAGAAGACGGTTCTAAGTTGCTACTCCAAGTTTGTGGATGGTGTATAAAAGAAGACGGTTCTAAGTTGCTACTCCAAGTTTGTGGATGGTGTATAAAAGAAGACGGTTCTAAGTTGCTACTCCAAGTTTGTGGATGGTGTATAAAAGAAGACGGTTCTAAGTTGCTACTCCAAGTTTGTGGATGGTGTATAAAAGAAGACGGTTCTAAGTTGCTACTCCAATTTTGTGGATGGTGTATAGAAAAGGAGGGGTAACTTAGCTTTGTCTCATGGCATCGAGCACTTTATGACAGACAAACCGGGAAACAGTAATTTTCATAGACCCCTTTCTATAAATAGTAATTTACATAGACCTTTCTAATTGAAACAGATATACAGAGTGTGAAACTCGAAGTAGCAACTGAGAACCGTTCTGTTCTATACACCAAATAGCGTGTACAGCTCTGCCTATATGGAATAGAGCATTTCATGGCAGACTGGTAAACTGTAATTTTCTTTAGTCAATATGCTTTGTACATAAATAGTCTAGTAAAAAGCATAAAAAATGCCTGATGATCATATTAAGTGTGATACTCGGAGTAGCAACTTAGAACCATCCTGTTCTATACACCAAATACGTGTACAGCTTTGCCTATATGGAATAGAGCATTTCATGGCAGACTGGTAAACTGTAATTTTCTTTAGTCAATATGCCTGATGATCACATTAAGTGTGATACTCGGAGTAGCAACTGAGAACCACTTTGTTCTATACACCAAATAGCGTGCAGAGTAGCCACTCAGAACCGTCGACACGTATTGCTCTTTATACTTGGGAATGTGAAACATTTTTCATTTCGTTTTATTTCTATTATCTATCAAAGTTGTTATCGACGTTATAATTGCCAAATACTAGACGTGTGGCTCTAAAAATCTATTTTTGTTGGCATTTTATTTTTTGAGTTTTGTTGAATCACAGCTTGCCTTGTTCCTTATTTTGAACTCGTTTATGAGCAAATCTCAATCGGATGTTTTTATAGGGGTTCTTCTTATTAAAAAGCGTGTAGGAAACGAGACTCGTATGATAGGGAGGCTGCTGATCAAGGAATCTGTCAAAGTTGGAATTTTAACTTGTAGTCTGTCTTCTTGTCGCCTTGAAAACAGTTGTGCGAACAAACTCCTCACAGCTACTTTTTGACAACCAAACCCTAAATTTACAACGCACCCTCTACCTCATCCACAAAGATTTTTATCCCCTGCCAAGGGCTTTCAAATTTTCTTATTTATAAAACTTTGCTATGTGTAAATCGAAAAGAGCTTTAACCAAATTGACAAATCACGCCATGAAGTCAAATTCAATTCAATACAATTCAATTCAATCAGCTCCCAAAGGTTTCCGGCTTAGCTCAGCAGAAATCTGTTGTTTTTTAAACAGTTCATTGAAAAACTTTTGTTCATTAATGCAGATTCTAGGATATGTTAGAATCTAAACATAAAAGTGATAATGTACACGATTGATTTTGAATAAAACGATCTCGGTATCCGCCTGGAGATGTTCTTGGAAAAGCGTTCAAAGACCGGATTACTATCCTGCTGGTCGGGTAATAAAGAGTTCAACGTTTGTATTGTTTCCGGCCAGTATGGACCCGGTATCATTGATCCTGGAACTATATCAGGATTAATCAAAAGCAGTAATTTTGCCAATTGTTAAATAGTTATTTGGTTGTTTTACAAGAGTATTCTATGAAAACTGATGCTATCAAGCATGAAATAACAAAATAATTTCAGAAACTACAAAAGGCCTTGATATCGAATGACATATTTCGAATCGAATAATTTCATATCGAGTAAGATATTTTACTGAACAAGCAACACAAGACTTGCAGAGGCTGGGCTAGCCCATGGTCTGTAGGCCGGGACGTAGCTAGCGGCGGGTTGTAGGAGGGCACCACCCCCCAAAAAAAATTCTACCTGAGTTTGTCGGTTAATTTAGGGTTGGTGCCGAAATTCCCTGGATTCTCCTTAAAATCGGTAGGTTTATCTTTATCGTTATTGTTTGGGAACATGGCCTAAATATTAATGTCGAGAGATGATTCAGCAGGTATATAAGCATGAAGAAAATACAAAAACAAATATTAATTTTGTTGAAAAGGCCTCTTCAGTTACAAGCAAATATTTGTTCCATCAGATTGCTTAAACATTTAAGATGATTTTTTTCTTTCTGAAGAAGCAAACACTTGAGAAAGGCCGCGAAAAACCGACAGAAAATTTGGCAGATTCAGAGATGCAGAGATCACTTTATTTGAAATAGGCTCAAGTGTGCCAAATCTGTTCCTTCGCCAAGGGGGCGTAGTTGAGCACCATAGAAATAAATGCAACGCGGTTTGGAATTTGCTGTTTTAATACGAGAATGATAGAAACGCATCTCATGAAATGGAATATGCACCCTCTCATGGGCTCCGACAAAGGTTGAAAAGTGGGGGGGGGGGGCAAGGGTAAATTTAACACCCATAACATAAGATTTTAAAAAAAACTCTATTGTTTTGCAAAAAAGTGGGGGGGCCAAGACCCCCACCCTGCGTCGGAGGCCCTGCCTCTTACTCTTGCAAAAACCTTTTTGCATAACACAAGAACTTTTCCGAACAAATCTTGTGTTATGAATCTTTTCATATCCTTGGGTCTCCAACCCTCCCCCCTCCTACTTCCTTCGAAGCCTATGTCGTACCCATTTCTTAGAATTTGGCAACGGACAGCCACCTTTGTGTGATAGTAACGATGGATTAATAGCAGAATGTCTTTATTATAAGAGTCAAGTGCATGTCTGGTAAAAGGTTATTGTAGCAGTGATATTCTCGACCCTTCCCCCTGGTGTACGGGCAGACGGTTGTCTTAGCCGAATAAGGAAGGACTCATTGTGGTTTATAATTCAAGGGGTAAAAACAATAAACGGGCTTTCGGAAACCACGCAAGATTAAACCGGGATCTGTCGCTGAGATCAAAAGAAAATACGGTATGAAAACCAAACATTTGAAATCTGGCGTGAGCAAATTGAAGATGACACATGCCAAGGTTACCGCGCTCGATCAGGCGCTCTTCGATGGGCCTAAATAGATACTTTTTCGAATTTGTTGCATGACAAGAATAGCAAAATGCCATGATGAATATTCTTATTGCCAATTTGCTCTTCTGTTTTCGTATTTGTTAATTTTTGCCGAAAAGCCAGTTGAAAAAATAAGTCATATTAATACTAAATTGAATATTTTGGAAAATTTTGCTCCCAAGGATTCGTTCACAACTACAAAATTTGACCCAGTGGCGGAAATTATGGAGTAAAGGGGAAACTGCCCCCCCCCGCCCTCGCCTTCCAACTCGGAGAATTTGGCGCAAATTGGACATTTTTTGTACAAAACCGAATCTGAAAAGTACAGAGCCGAAAAGGCCGAAAAGTAAAGAAAACTCGGAGGTTTCACTATGCTCCCACAGCGACAGTCCACTAACCTGGTTATAATGGGTGTGCAGGACATTCAGTAGGGTAACACCTTTAATGTTATTTGGTGCTAAGGGATCCCTATAAATATGCATTTGGACAGGAAATCAATCCTGCTGATTAATGTTTATTTATGCTAAACACTGTACATGAATTATGCAAATTTGTTGCTCAAATCAGATCTCAGATTGAACGCAAACAAAAAACCACGTTTCCTCTTCGCCCGAGTCTTCCATCTACCCTTACTTCACGGGGGTCTGGGTCTTACAATGGACATTATAATAATAATAACTATAAAACACTACACCCACTTCGCGAATTCTGTGCACACTTTCAACTGTTGAGGGTGAAGAGAATTCTGAAGCAGTGGAACGCATGTTAGCACAGTATGGTTAACTGTGAGTGCTCGACGAAATGATTCCACTTACCGGAAAACTTCGAAATAATAAATAAATTTCTCTAGGCTTCACGTCCATTGGTAGGCCACTAACGAACAGCGTGCGAACCTAAAATGAAAAAAAGAGGAGGCTAAAATAACAGGGCGGATCTTGTTTGGAGACTGAATCAAACAGTCTTCCAATGAATAAGTCAGCCCCCGTGATTTTGGCAATAGAGCATGCGCAATGATGTTTGACTTGCACTATGTCAAAAAATGCACTATGTCTCAAATAAGAGGGTTGTCTCATTCACTGTAAGATCTTCTCTGGTTCATTTTCCTAGCAATAACAGTATACATCGGTAATATCTCCTGAATTCTTTGGACCAAGGATGGATGGTTAAATTTAGTTGGACCTTATTTGAATTTCAATAGTTTGTTGCTTGTGTCAAATTATCGAATAGTCTTAGCATGTGTGCCACCAGCACAGCATTTACTTTGTGCGCCGATATGTGCCTCAAAAGCCTTGGTTGGGCGCCAGAAGTGTCCAGCGCACAATTTTCCATCTATACCGATTTTGGACTGTGGATATCAGTAAATATGATAAGATATGACATGATATGATAAATATGATAAGATATGATAAGATGCGGAGATCCTACTTGAAACGCCAAATCTGAAGGTTTTTTAATTTACAAACTGGTTGGTTCATAATTAGCATAATTTGTAGTAATTCATTGCATACTGGATCATAACTAGCACCAATGGTAGTCTTTGAGGGTATACTTCAAATAAATTATCATAAGTTATAAACGATAGCACTATATCTAGCATAAATCCAAGGACTTTAAAGAATATATGCATGTATCATAATACATAAGATCATGATTTGCATAAATTATAATGCATATTTGCAAGATTAGCGTAAATTGTAAGACTATTAATTTAAGCTGTGTGTTTGTAAGATTAGAATTCGCCAGAAATTTGTCCAGGTTCGGAAGCAACCAGCTTAGCTGGGTGTGTCAAGCACTGTGGAAGCGCTAATAATTCACCTCCGTAAATTCAAGTCTAAATTTAGCAACGGTTACAAAAGCGGTCGGCGTAAAGCATGTGTTTCCACAAAAGTCAAAGAATTAGAAACACAAACTGTTTACAAAAAGACAAAAACACTTATGTTTACAATAAGACAAAAACCTTGATATGCATCCTTCATAATTATATTATCCCGCCAATCCACTTATAAGAATCTTGCCTATGCATTGTTGGTAAATATAATAAGAAATAAAGGTTTAACAGATTAACAAAAACTTTCGTCGAGTTGCCTTATATCAGGCTTTTGAGTTACATAACAGTGGGATTGTAAAATTGTTGCCGAATTCAAGATAAAGTTTTTATTAAATGGAAAGGTTTTCTTGTAAAACCTGAACTTCACACTGTAACACGATGTTGCTTGACCCAGTAGACTTTCTTCCTCATAATGTTAGAAATTTTTCTTATTGCTCTCCGGTTTCCCTCATTGTTTAAAATAACTGATAATAATTCATCCGATTTGTGAGTTAATCCGTGAATACAACAACCTTATTTGTGTCTTCAATTGTCTTGTGTTTATTCAAAATCTTTTCTTAAAAATCTTATTTTGCTTGTTTACTTTTCGTCTTCTCTATGCGAACCAATGCCGATATTTAAGTAAAGAATAATTCACAGGCGGCAACGTACAAAGTTCCTTACACATACCACGGGTTAGATTTTTAAACAACTTAAAATTTTCGGGCCTAAATACGAAAATCGAACTCTCCAAGCAGAGCAACGAAAGATAATGCTTTTGCAGTTGTTGTTGCATCCAAGCAGTGATCAAAGACCAAAACCTCAAGGCTTGAAATTGTAAGCAGAAATTAAGCGAATTTAAAAAAATACAACGTTAAGGTAACGGGTTACGGCCGAAACGCCGTATCATATTAAATTTGCTTAATTTCCGCGTACAATTTCAAGCTATATTGTCACCAAGTCTTATACGACACGCAAGTTAGTATATTTATGGAATCTTTATTACTTAGGCCGTATATTTGGAGATGGTAGCACCATTTTGTCGACACAATTTTGGATGAAAAGTGCATCTTTCCTCTGGACCCTTTCCCTCTGAACACATTTCTATTCCCTCTTAACAATTTCCCGATTGTGAACTCATCATTCAAATGTATTTGTTCATACTTCGCTCCAGCCTCTCCATTGCAACACCCCCAGCTTTCAGTAATTTATTCCAATTTATGTCAATGTGTTCAATGCATTCAGAACCAGGCCAACCTAACAGTTAACTCTTGGGTCTTTAATTGACCATACCTTAGGGAACCTGTCATAAATTTGAATGATTCTGCATACATTAGTGGTATTTTACCGTGTTCATTCTGAATTCAAGGTCAAATTTTCAAAGTTCTAAAAATAGATCATATGTCATTCCGTCATCACTCCGGGAAATTCTTTTTCCACTATAAGGCACTGTGTCCTAGTCGATTAAAAGCAAACACATTATGTCAGTTTTCCTGCGCCGTCTAAAAATTTAACACTGGTCACAAGCAGCCGTCCTTCATTTGTAGCCAATACCAGAAATTTTGTGTTTGAAAGAGAAAATTCGCTTTTAAACAAAAAATGACCTTGCTTGAGTAAACGAAGTTTTTATTTGAAACACAGCATGTCGAAAAAAACTCCAAATAGCTTTCAACATAGTCTTGAAATAAACCGTTCTTTTATATCAACGTAGTCTCGGGTCATTGGAATGACGTAACACGAGGTTACGTCTGCGAATACGAGGTTACATTTCATGGGTTTACGAAACATTCATGTTTTGACGAAACTGTTATTTGTAAGCCAAAATAATTATAACTTTTAATTTTTTTGATGATACAGCTTCACGATGGCATTTTTTGGAAATTGTTGACATCTTTGGATTTTATGCCAAAGAGGCAATCTGACGGTTACCTCAAAACAATCTTTTTACGACATACTAGAAGCTTTTTCGTCTGACACTCCTCAGAGCATAAAACATCGAAAAACGACGAAAAAGCCGCCATTCTGTAGACAAAAGGAGTTCGCTTTCTCTCTTGGACTCCATTGGTAATTTTTCTTTAGGCTCGCGGCACTGATTGGTCAACTATACCGGTCTTGTGCTTGCGTTTTTCTGATTGGCCTATTTCGATCCACAACTGGGTATATATTTTTCATCGTGTTCTTTCGGTCTCTTATTCTGACGTTTTATGCTCTGAGGAGTGTCAGACGAAAAAATCTTTGGATTTATTTACATAAAAATCAGTGGAGAAATTCCCTACTAAACTCTGAGACTTCACCGCTATCTTTTCTACATTCCCCACTAGTTATTTCCACTTTGCACAAAATTTCTTGTGCTGTGTTGTCTTCCTTTATTCAGCCTATCCTCTACATACATATTGCAGTGACACCAATTTTGATCAACGCTGTATACTCGCATACTCATTTCACGTTCTCTTTTTGCACTAAATTGTGTCACAGCACGAATGATTTGTCGTTGATAGCACCCAAATTTTTCCTCGTCTTTGCTTTTTCGCTAAATTTTACTATTAATGATTTTCTAACCCCTAGTTGGGAAGGACAAGCTCTGCGTGTCTCCATGTAGAGAGAAGCATTCAACCCAATATTTATGGAATGGCAGCTTCCAATGCTTATACGGTGTAATTTATGCTTAGGAAGTTGTGCTGCATAATTTATGCAATTAATGTTTATGAACTAATCTTTGATGCATTAACTAGTGTTGTAAAGAGGTTGGTTATGATATTGCTTAAAAACTGAGCCGTTTTTGATAAGCATTTGAAATATTTAATGAGCGTTTGGTTTTAAGCGTGCTTGAAAATTCAGCACGCTTGTCGTAAAACACATCTCCTATCAATAATTCATTTCTCAAAGACATAAATTTATCTAACGTCATTCATCAAGAATTCAGATCCTTCTTGATAAATGATACATGTGCGACTTTGTCTTGGTACACTTTGAATAGACAGGGACGAAGTAGCATACGTCAGTAGCGAGTAAACATGGAAAAACAGCCTGTAGTTGAATTTTTGTGCGCTATGTCGTAAAGCTGTCATAGGACTTTTTTCTTCTATACCGTAATGAATCGAACATGCGCCCCCCTCAAGTAAGAGCCCCCATCGAATAAGCGCCCAACCTAGAGATGAAGTTATTGAATAAGCCCCCCCCCTCCCCTCGAATAAGCACCTACCCCTCGAATAAGCGCCCAGCCTTCAACCTTCGGGAACGGGGCTTATTCGAATTTTCAACGAAAGCATAATTGGAAGGCTGAAGACTTATAACTTGGTCGTGGTAAAGGCTGTCAGTCTGCAAAGTATTAATGTTAGAGATGCAAATAGCTGGGCTACATATTCCATAATTTAGACCCATGCACCAGCTTCAGTGGACATAGAAAACAGATTATTTAATTCAAATCGACTGAACTATAATGAAGAATATTGAAGCAGGCCCTTCTCGTTTTGACAATGAATTGAGATTGACAATTTATTAATAAAAACATTATTTATTCTCAATTTTTCCGTAAATTTTACTTTATTCGACCCATACAAACGAGCTGATTAGGAACACATTGATATATGGGAATTGATATATGCTCAATGAGACTGTTCATAGAGTCCCTGTTGATTTTATAAGAACCAGATACGCCCTGCTGAGGCACCGTGTCCTTTCTTTGAATCTTTCTTATTCACAACTATTCTTTCGACCACTGCATGCAAAAATTGTTTCTTTGTCTACTATATAACAGTTTTAAATGAAATTTTTAAAAACAGGGTGTATAAGATGATATATCTGTTCGTTTATTTGTTAATATGAGCAATGCTTCCAAAATTCAATTGCCTTTTCTCCTAATTTTTGGCTTGAGACTTAGTATATCTCTGCGTTTTGCCTAGTTTTTTTAGGAAATCGAGCCTCAATGTTCACATAAAATGTGTCTATATGGAAAACAGTTTTATTGTTTTCTTGCTATTTTTATGACCTTATCTTGGGGTGTTTGGTACAATTTTGCGGTTTGATTAGGCAGTTATGCACCGCAAATACTTTATACGGTTGTGAAGAATGTATGTGAATGTTGTAAAAAGCAATTTATTTCTGCAATTAATCTGAAGTTGAGTTCAACCCAATCGAACTCTCTTATTGCGGACGCCTGTCCAGACAAAGATACCTCTCTAAGTGTCCGTTATCAAGGTGGGACGTAATCACTGTGCTTTTAAGAAAGGTCACCAGTATGTGATGGCAAATTAAAAAAGGCTTCAGCCAACGGAAAGATATTTTGGAGCAAATCTGTTTCTCTGTTGCCCGCAAGCGACCGTTATCAAGGTCTTCTCATTAAAAATGTTCAGCTCAACGAATAATCTTGTTTTTTCGAACAATAGTCGAACGACAATCGTAGAATATAGGACAACAACTAGACCATTCGTGTGCAATCTCGGGAGACACCAATTGACTGTCCAGTATAGGGAGACATCACTTGGCTAATGGATTTTCTAATGTAGGAAAAACAGAGTGGGTCAAATGAATTTACAATGTAGGGAGACATCAGTAATCTTTTTCAATGAAGCTTGATCAGCTTGCAGTTCCTGAGTCAGCTTGATCAATGAAGGAAAACGTCTGCGGGACCAGTTCTAGAAAGGTCCAACTGGGGGTTTGAAATTGTGTAGCGAAAAAACCAGCGGGAGCAATAAACTGCACAATATAGGGAGACAATTGTTGGACCAAAAGAAAGCACAATCTGGGGAAACATCAATTGAACCAATTGACTGTCCAATGTAGGGACGTTTAAAACTTGGAAGAAAAATACATTTATGTTGCTTGAAAATGTCCAGTACTTGAATTTGTCCTTTAGTGATGTTTCTATCTCTTGTCAAATGCAGGTCTTGTCTTTTTTATCTCTTGTCATTCGACTAAATTTTCCCTTTTAGGACTTTTCTGTTATAAGGCCGCATATTCGACTGTTTGCGCTCCACTCTAAGGCATTAAGGTCCAAGTTTATACAGGGCACCTATCTTTGAACTGCATGGCTCACCCACTAAACAAACCCCTTTAGCGTTTGCCATGCCTATGTCACAAGTTCCTGGGACAACAAACCGTGTAAGAATATGTTTGCTTTTAAAGCTTCCTGTTGGCTTGAGATTGGGAAATGCGTGGCAATAGTTGACTGCTGTTTGCAAAGTCGTTTCTGAGGCAGGGTGAGAGAGTTCAAGGATTTAATAAATCGTCGAAAGTTGGCCTGACCTGGAACCGACTTGGGAAGGGGCTACATTGTCGACTGATGTAGATAAAGTCGTTTCTTGAAAGTTTAAAGATGTATTCGATTGTTGATGGTAGGTTGGCACCGAAGAACTACTGGTGGGGTTAGAATTTGCCCCCGGGTTATCCAGATCTAGTGCATTTTGCCTTATTTGGAAAACAAACTGCTGGGGCAACAATAAAGACAATCCTATCGCTTTTCCCTGCAATGCAATGAGGCATATGCTACGTCCAATCCTGGCCTTATGGGTGTCTCAATTGCATGCATGACACGTTTTCAAGTTGTTTTTGCTAGCTCGCCCCCCTTTGCCAGCAAAGACCTTCCTCAAGTAGTGAAGCTCTTTACAATGCGAGCTTTGGAAGGAGACAATATCCTTTAAACTGGCTTAATTGTTAAAAGTTGCGCGCCAGTGAAGACAAAACGGGAACTGAACCAAGAATCAAAATAAACGATTAAATAGGCCTAGAAATTCCCGAATCGGGGTGTTTTGTGAAAGAAACATCCACCCACTAAATTGCGGTCTGGCTTTTAACAATTTTCTGGTACCTGTTATAAGATATTCGCTGCAAGCAGCAATTTTATGAAAATCGTTGAAAATCGCGAATTGAAGCCAATCTTACTTAAATATCGCTGTTTTTATTTGTTAGTGAATTTCATTGTTGCAGCATTCCTTATTGGAAAATATGCTTGCCACAGCAAAATCGGCTGAAATGATGTCTTATAAGAGCGTCCTTTTACATTAAAAAGTTTTAAGTTATTTTGACTTGTCCTTGCTGCAGATAAAATTTCTTCGTGGATGCATTTTTCAAGCATTTTTACTGATCAGCCCCTTTTAATTTTAATGAGATAAATGTAAGAATATTTGTTCAGCAAGTAAGAGTGAGTTTTTGAGGTAGAAATAACGTGCATTCGTAATATCGATATTCATGAATAATTTGCAGGCACTTGCTCGTAGAATCCACGGGTCTGTCTCGTGTTTAACGGACTTAAAATCAGTTCCTATCACTTGTTTTATCTCTGTTTAACTTATATTGCCATAGTGAGAAAATACACAGGATTAAGCACCATAAATAAACTTTGGGAAAAGACAATACTTTCGCCAAGGATTGAGGGTTTTAAATTCTAAGCCAGTTTTTCGACTGATTCGGGAGTTAGAAAACCAAGCCAAAAAACTTTGACTTTAAATCGTTTTGTTTTTATATCCTATATGAGAGCGCTTGCAATTTTTAATGCCATGTCTTTTTCCAAGAATAAAATGCTGGTTATTCGATCTGTAGCAGTTGGGGGAGTTTCTATGCCTCGAGCCATGGTTGAGTGAGTATGTAGTTAGTGCAAGGAAATTCCATTGATAATAGTTGACCTTCTTAACTTGTAAATGCTCGATCTGATAGCAAAATAAGTGTGTTTAATAGAGAACCTGGCAGATTCGTCGATTATATAGGCCAGGTTCTGCTGCAGTAGTCTGGCCAACATAGGATACGTGTAGGAAAATGTTTGCTGCATGAATTCGACCCAAATCATTAAATAGCACCGCTGTTTGCCAAATAAAAATATTACGAATTCAGCAGAGAATCTACGACATTAGAAATTTTGAAATTAATTAAATGAGGAAACTTACCTCTCCCAAAGTTTCATCTGTGCTGCTATCGTTGCTGGAAATGGAGTGGTCATCTGATGCCATAGTTACGCGTAAATTGATAAAGGCAGATGGAAAATAGATAAGGTTTCGTTTGTGCGTTGATAAACACACGTTCTAGCAGTTATTTTAATATGTTAAATCAAGTAAAAGCCTTTATTGTGTTGCAGCCTTAGTGCATTCTGCAGTTATAACCTCGCGAATCGATTGCGAATGTTGATCGTTGTGTGCTGGGTGCTGTGCGATAACTAAAGGCCAAAGAAACCCTTGTGCGGTCGATTGAAACCTTTCAGTGCTGTTTGAAGCCTTTGCTATGTCAGCGATTCCATTGAAAAGACAAGAAGCTACCATAACAAGTGCGGAACGTTTTGTGCCGAAGAAAATGCAATTTCCATACGGTTTTGTTTGTAGGGCATACATAGGAACAATACAAAGCGCGCTAGGGATTTAAATTTGTATTAGTTATTGAAAATTTTATGTGAACTAGTAATAGAGCTACCGGCAGCCCATTCAGATGTTTTCAATAGGCGACCCATTGGGATGTTTTGGAAAGCCCACATTTGCGAAACCAGTAGAAACCAACTGAAACAATACTGTCCTGCAACGATCGTTATAAAAATAATTTGATATATGATTAAGCAATGTGATGTTAGTTTTATAAGATCGTTTATTCCGTAGTTATTCATGAGATTCGGAGCGCCTTGTATGAATATTGAAAAAACATTCATGCAAGCCCGATCGAATTGCGTTTCAGCAGCGAATATGTCAAAGAGTTGCAGATAAGATAAACGCTGAGATGATTGCAGGATCACCGAATAATGGAATTTCTAGGAATATAACAGCACGGGGGATCGGTACAGATGTTGGGTAACATGGAAATGAGACTGTTGCTACGGAAGCCAGGTCAATGGGGTTCTTCGTTTACACTCTTTTTGTTTATAATTATAAGAGTATTATTTATAAGTATATCATAAGAATCATCCAGCTTTTAACAGGGGCACGCCACCGGGGGGCCAGGGTGGCCATGCCCCCACTTTTTCAAAGCAAATAGTTTTAATCTTGCAGTAAAAGGGGAAGTAGCCTCGTCCTCTCCTTTGCTAGCCTTGCCCCCCTCCTCAGTTTCAATTCCGTGGCGTATGCCCTGTTTAAACTCGGCCTCAGCGTGCATATTTGTGTATCCTTTTTTAGCGGTTGCTTGTTTTGCGATGTTCTTATATAAAAAGCGTATATCAAAAGTGTTTGAAAATCTTGTACACTTCAGTTGGAGATCTTCAGGGGACATATCACACAGTGGCGGAGCCATGGGGGGAGTGGAGCCCCACTTTTTCAATAAGTTGGTCCTTGAGATTCACGCAAACCTGATGAGAAAACGTCGGAGGGGAGGGGGGGGTATGTACGTTATCTAGATCGTCACATTTAAGTGACATTTCTTGGGAGAAAAAGGTGTTTCCTCCGGAAGAAAATGTTTCAAACAGGGGGGAAATGGCGTAGTCAAAAAGGGGCGTGGTCCCTGACACACCTTTTGTCCCCCACTTATCCCAGGTTGGACCCGCCACTGATATCATTCAGCATCACTCCACGAAAGTTGTGTATCTCTCTAGAAAAAATCTTTTGCTTTAAAGAAAAGGCGTCAAAAATTCCTTAAGATCCTATTCTCCTTGAAATCGCATACGCGGTTTGGAAAGAGTGAGCCAGCCCTAGGAAATCGAAGCGGAAAGGGGAAGGATACCAACAGGGGTTATTGAAATTGAAAACAAGGGTTTTTTATGGGAGGATTTTTCCTGTTCATGGCTGTCCCTCAAAATACTTACAAGGGGTGCAGTGACGGTTTGAAATTTGCAAGGGGTGTCAGTCTCCAAACCTCCTGCATTTTACCCCCTGCATAATCAGTTTCCCAGTAAGAAAATCGCAGACCTGAACAGCCAATCCCCTAATTCCATTTGCTTTTTGTTTATTTACATACTCCCCGAACAAAACATAAGAGGTTAGGTTCTTCTCAATAAGAGGTTAGGCTCTTCTCAATTTGTTCATCACATATCTGGTGTAAGTTGAAAAAAGCTATCATCAGACAATATTCTCCCGTGCTAATTTGAAAGCTAGTCACCATGTAACGTATTTCACTCAGGACCCGCGCCACTAATTTGAAATTTGGGGGCAAGACTAAAAAGTTGGGGGCCATGGCTTCTTACCCTTTTTACTACAGATTTAAAACTACTTGCTTCGCAAAAAGGTGGGGGAGACGGCCGGTGGTGCGGGCCCTTCAATTATGACAATGTTGCTACCGTTTTCCATCAGCTTGCTCTTAATTTGCTATCAATTTTTGGACAAATTTCAAGGCTCCTATTTTTATAAAATTTTTCTAATAAGAAAGAGTGAAGTCAAGCAACACACAAAAGACTGGCAAACTATCGCCATCATGGACTGTAGCTCTACTCAGGATTTGGCTCAGGACTGTCGCTGTGGGGGTGTAGGGGGCTGAGACATCCCTGGAAAAATTTTATTATAAAAAAGAGGAGTTAGAGGGTGCATTTTGCCAGATTTTAAGGGGTGCATTTTACCAGATTTTCAGATTTGTCGGCAAAGAAAGGATGGCTCCCCAACTTGGTCGGCAAATGGGATCGTAACATACTACACTGAAGAAAATCTATTGTGTCACGTGATAAGTGGCATCCAATTCAACACATTGAAGGAAAGATTATAGGGGAGAGAAGTCGAGACACATCTCGAGGGTGGACGCTTAATGCTTATGATAAATTCGCTCATGGACAATGTTAGTCCAATGTAAATTTTATCGCATCGATGATTCTTTTCGCATGTAAATAAAATGGAACAATCGCTGTAATTTTTCGCCTTTATCTTTTAATATACTTAATACAACAAGAACCAGGAACCTATCTGGACTTTCACCTCTGTTCGAGAGACGAAGCGTAATGCAGTGCAGGATCTTTCATTTGACCCCCCACATACCCCTTGATAACAATAGCTAGCGACCGCCCTGACTCTACTAGATCAGAGAATTCTGTGGCTAAATGCCTAGTTTGGGACTTCATTGTATTAAAAATTCATTGCTAAAACTCTATTCATGGATCATGCAGGCCCTCACTAAAGCAAGGCCTAGGGTTTTACTCAGACCTACTTCTAATTGTCATAATAAAAAGGTATTGTGAACTACTTGTTTTTCATTTCTTTTGGTTGTGTAAGACAGCTGGGAAACATACTGACAGAATAGCGTTGATTTCTTAATACCTAGTTAATTTTTAATTATCTTGCGTAGAATTGTGAAATTAAAAAGCTTCAGAATTTGCCTTGAGTTTACAAGATTACTCGTTATTTTTCAGAACTTTTGGCAACGAAGAAACTAAAAGCTTTTGCTTTGCAAGAATTTTCTCACAGTACTTTGGCAGTGGCCAATTTCGCCTTTATTTACTGTAAATCATTGGAAAGCTTATTGCAACGCAAACATCCTCAATAAATAATTGATTCCTAAAAATGATAGGTCAATTAGAATTTAAAACAATAAGAATATTATTTTTAGAAATAAAAATTCGAGCATTCTTTATCAACATCCATAACTCTCCATGTAAATAATTTGTCTCTAGATGTGATTGCTAAAACTGTTGTCTGTTGAGATTTGAGAGACATGGGAACTAGTAACATGCTGCCTAGCAACAAAAAAGTGAAAAGGAGGTCACATTGCTTTATCATAAAACATTTTTCATCCTTGTTTCCAGGCACGTAAATACTGGGGGGTGTCTTTTATCTGGTCGGAAAATTTGAGGACAGTCGGAAAATTTAAAGCTGTTGGTAGAAAGCTAGCTCAATCAGAGAAAATTTGAATCATTTGTGAAAATTGAAGTTTTGACTCAAATGATCTTGTAAACTGTAGCTCAAAGAGAAGCATAAGAAAAGTATAAGTTCATAAGAAAATAGTTGTTTGGTGAAAGGCAGCCCTAAAAAGAATGAGAGGCGACGCAATACAGAAAAACGAAGTTAGGTATGAAACTGCAAGTATTTTCAATTCGTCGTAATGGGGATAGTGTGATAACAAGATAAATAAGGAACTAAGATAGTCTAACTAAAACCCCTCGATTTACCTCTCTTTTCGCATCTTAATTTTTGCTGGAATGGGCTGTGTTGTCTGACACAAGACCACCTTTGACAAGAGCAAGCCTTGCCGAAGCGAAGCCGTTGCTCTTACATTTCTATCAGTTCTATCACAAAACATGTTTCATTCTTGTTTCTGATCACAGAATAGGAAATAGGCAGAAGGGTAACTCTCGTCGGTTCCTTTGTTGTTTTTTAAAACTGAGTCAACTATAGAATTTCTTAATTCCCCTTTAACCTCGATTCCATAAGTTGTCACATGCGGTACACTGATCTGTATAAAAGATCTTTTATAGAGATCAGTGATGCGCTGGAATTTTCAGGCTTCAAATGATGGGCAGGAGTTCCTGTTGCACTAGTCATACCTTTTAAGAGATTTAAACTAGGCTGATTAGGGCTTCATTTTTACAGAAAGGACAATAGTGAACCAAATTGGGACATCGCTAAACATTTACTTTTAGAATATTTAAATTTCTTTCCACATAATTCAAAGAACATAACGAAATACAAAAATTATTTGGCGGTACAAAAATTCAAAAATTTGAAAACATATTCAAGCATTTCGTCTGAACCTCTTCGAGAACTATTTCCTGCATTGCTGGCAAAATTCACTTGATAGAATGAACCTGCTAGATAAAATATCTGATATATTTGGCAATGATATTACTCAACTGCCCGACGACCATTTATGTGATCTACTTCATTTTGGAAGTAAGGCTTACAACGAGAAAGCAAATGGATTGATACTGAAATGCACAGTTGAATACGTCAAGCAAACTATACTCTTTTTTATAAGAACCAGTATATTTAAGTTCAGGCTGGATTGTTCTTAATTTGTTCTTGAATTGAGAGGGTGTAAGCAGTGCTATTGCTAGCTTTTTCGCTCTAAGGAGGTGTTCAGGCCTCATTTGCCAACAAAGTGAGTGAGACAGCCTAAGTTGCTGACAAATTTGAATATTCACTGAAAAAGCACCCACACATCGCTAAAAATCCTCGATTTTGAGAAAAAACGTTGTTCAAAATTGCATTTTGCAGAAGCTCAGCCTCAGCTTGTTCTCAATTTGTTCTTAAATTTTGACCAGTTTTGAGGCTCGTGTTCTTATAAAATTGTTCTTATAAAAAAAGGGTGGAAATGATTTCAATGAATTCTCTTCAGTTGTTGTCTGCTATATCTGGTAAATTGAATCCTGATAACCTATACAAAGTTGCATTTTTTACAGTATTGTACTGTATTTGTACAGTATTTGTACTCTATTCTATTGTATTGTGCTGTATTGTGCTGTGTTGTTGTGTAATTTTTTTATAGTGTATTTA